CAAGTGTCGCAGGCAAACCTGGAGATCGTCTGGGTGTTGGTGCGCACGAGCCGACAACGGAGCGCGTTGGTTGCGTCAGCGTATCGAGTGCCGCAGAACAGCGCGCGCCAGCTGGACGCCGATCTGGACGACCTTGAAGGTCAGCTACAGCATATGCTTACCAACTTCCCCAGGGCGACCGTCATCATTGCAGGCGATCTTAACAATTGCCTACTGAAGACCAAACCTGGGAACGCGCCCAATCCACTGCTGAGACTGTGTGACACCTACGGACTGCGCGTCACCAACCGGAGTCGCGCCACGTACCGCCCCGCCGGTTCGCTGTTGGATGTGATTATTACTAATCGCCCTGAGCTGATCCGGCGTGCCGGAGTCACGAGGTGCCATTACGGTGGCCCGCACGATTTTACTCGTGTTCTGCTGGCCCGCGAGAGTCGAGCGGCGCCCCGCAGTGACACGAGTCAGTACCGACGGGCGATCGGCAGGATTGCTAAGGACCTATTCAATCAACAGCTCGCGGAAACAGACTGGACACCCGTCTACCAGTCCGACACTACTGAACGTAAATGGAACGTTTTCCGCGATACGTTCATCGGCCGGCTCGACACTGTTGCACCTCTCAAACGTGTGCGTGACCGGCAGTTGACAGCGCCAGCCGTGTCTGCCGAAACGCAGCAGCTGTTGCAGAGCCGCCGCGCGGCCTTAGCTGGGGACGACCGCGCTGAATACAAGCGGGTGAACCGGCTGTACCGTGCCGCCGTGCGGAATGAGAGCCGAGAGCGCTATGCTAGAGCGATCCGGCTCGGCGACAGAGGCGGGCTGTGGCGTGTGCTGCGACCTGTTATCGGCAGAAAGCAGCAGACCTGTGAAGTGCCGAGAATTACTCCGAACGCTCTCAACGACTACTACGTCACGATCGGACCGGCCACGGCTGCTAGTGTGCCTGCGGCTACGATGCGTGTGCCCATGCGTCTACCTCGTGTGCCGGCCGCCGCGTTCGTGGTGCGCACTACTGATTATGACACACTGTATGCCACTCTTTTGCTGATGAAGCCGTCGAAATCAACCGGCAAGGATGGTATTAGCGTACTGATGCTTCAGTCTTTCTTCTCCGGGATGGGCCACGTACTGCTAAACGTAGTGAATTCCAGCCTGGCTACTGGTGTCGTGCCGCGTGATTGGAAGCACGCACTAGTGACCCCTATTCCGAAGGGGAAGACGTCTGTGAAACCGTCTGATACGCGTCCCATATCTATTCTACCAGCGATTATGAAGCTGGTGGAGCGTATTGTTCAGGGCCAGCTGTCAAGCTATCTAGAGGATAACCACTTGCTTTCCGATGCTCAACACGGTTATCGCAAACAGCGATCCACCGAAACTGCTCTGCATACTGTAACGGACATGGCTCTTCAAGCCATGGACAATGGACAAATCTGTATTTTGGTACTATTAGATCTATCAAAATGTTTTGATGTAGTCCCACACGCAAAACTACTGGAAAAGTTGTCGGTATACGGTGTCGATGTGCAGTGGTTCCGTAACTATTTAGCGCATCATTCGCAGCAGGTGCAGATGAGGGGTGCAGATGGTGCGAGTCTCCTGTCAGATAGCAAACCCAACGAGATCGGTGTGTATCAAGGCGGAGCGCTCAGCTGCGTTCTTTATATGCTCTTCTCAAATGACCTGTGCTTGTGTGTGCCTGATGACGTCACCGTCGTTCAATTTGCGGACGACACGCAGCTCATGGTTACTGGCAGAAAATGTGATGTAGATCAGCTGATCGCACGCATGGAGCACGCGCTCTCCTGCGTTTTTCAGTGGTTTTGCCATAACGGCATGAAACTGAACGCAGGAAAAACAAAGATGCTCGTGATAGGAACGCCAGCAATGCTCCGCGGTTTGGCCCCTGTTACTGTGGATTTCTGTGCGACCACAATCACTGAGTCTAGAACGGTGAGGAACCTCGGAGTGACGATGGACCGTCATTTGAGTTTTGAGCCGCATGTCGACAGCGTTACACAGAAATGTACTGGCATGCTCATAGCACTGATGCATGCACGTCACGTTGTGCCGAGGTCTGCCTTGAAGTGCATCGTCCAGTCACTAGTGATCTCGGTATTGCGATACTGTTTGTCCGTCTACGGATCGTGCGGAGAGACGCAACTTCGGCGGCTCCAAAAAGTACTGAACTTCTGTGCCCGGGTCGTGTCGAACAAGCGGCCGTCGCGACAGTGTGGCATCTGTAATGCGCGAATTGAAATGGTTATCTGCCAAGCGACTAATTGACTACCACACCGTGTGCGCTGTACAGCGAGCTATCGTGTCTTCCCAGCCTGAGCGACTGAGCAGCACCATAGGGCGCCAGGCGAGCAATCGCCACCAGCACGACACAAGGCGCGCCAATTTGCTCACGCTCCCGTCCATTCGGACGGAGGCAGGCCGACGGCGGCTGTGCTACAGGGGAGTGGCACGACTCAACCAGCTCAAAGTTGACCCAATGGTGTCATCTTTCAGAGCTAACGCTATGAAGGTGCTGCGAGCAATGCCTGAACAAGATGCTTAGATTGTGTGTGTCTATGTTGAGCATAAGTACTGTGATTTGTGAATGCGTGGATGTGTGCTCGATATACTCCCCCTCCCCATGATATTCCCCATCGTATGACGTGAGCTTGTGAAAAGCCACTTAAATGTGTGGATCTGGCTCGAATATATCTGTATCTGTATCTGTATCTGTATCTCTCTCTCTCTCTCTCTCTCTCTCTCTCTCTCTCTCTCTCTCTCTCTCTCTCTCTCTCTCTCTCTCTCTCTCTCTCTCTCTCTCTCTCTCTCTCTCTCCCGCTGACCCCTCCCTCACTAACCTCTCTCTCTCCCGCTGACCCCTCCCTCACTAACCTCTCTCTCTCCCGCTGACCCCCTCCCTCACTAACCTCTCTCTCTCCCGCTGACCCCTCCCTCACTAACCTCTCTCTCTCCCGCTGACCCCTCCCTCACTAACCTCTCTCTCTCCCGCTGACCCCTCCCTCACTGACTCTCTCTCTCTCTCTCTCTCTCTCTCTCTCTCTCTCTCTCTCTCTCTCTCTCCCGCTGACCCCTCCCTCACTAACCTCTCTCTCTCCCGCTGACCCCTCCCTCACTAACCTCTCTCTCTCCCGCTGACCCCTCCCTCACTAACCTCTCTCTCTCCCGCTGACCCCTCCCTCACTAACCTCTCTCTCTCCCGCTGACCCCTCCCTCACTAACCTCTCTCTCTCCCGCTGACCCCTCCCTCACTAACCTCTCTCTCTCCCGCTGACCCCTCCCTCACTGACTCTCTCTCTCTCTCTCTCTCTCTCTCTCTCTCTCTCTCTCTCTCTCTCTCTCTCCCCCGCTGACCCCTCCCTCACTGACCTCTCTCTCTCTCCCGCTGACCCCTCCCTCACTGACCTCTCTCTCTCTCTCTCTCTCTCTCTCTCTCTCTCTCTCTCTCTCTCTCTCTCTCTCTCTCTCTCTCTCTCCCTCTCGCTCTTTCTCTCTCTCTCTCCCCGCTGCCCTCACCCTCCCCCACTGACCTCTCTCCTCTCGGCGACCAGCCGTCCGAGCTGGTAGAGTCCAAACAGCGCGTCCCGAGGGCTCTCCCCCGCGACGTCCATCAGAGGTGCCAGCGACGGAGTGAACTCCTCCACCTCCAGATCGGAGCACGTCACGTTAGAGTGCTGCCGGGCGGAGCGGAGGGTCAGGGGAAGTCTAGGGTATTATATATGGACCGGAGCACGTCACGTTAGAGTGCTGCCGGGCAGAGCGGCCGGTCAGGGGAAGTCTGGGATATTATATATGGACCGGAGCACGTCACGTTAGAGTGCTGCCGGGCGGAGCGGCGGGTCAGGGGAAGTCTAGGATATTATATATGGACCGGAGCACGTCATGTTAGAGTGCTGCCGGGCGGAGCGGCGGGTCAGGGGAAGTCTAGGATATTATATATGGACCGGAGCATGTCACGTTAGAGTGCTGCCGGGCGGAGCGGCGGGTCAGGGGAAGTCTAGGATATTATATATGGACCGGAGCACGTCACGTTAGAGTGCTGCCGGGCGGAGCGGCGGGTCAGGGGAAGTCTAGGATATTATATATGGACCAGAGCACGTGACGTTAGAGTGCTGCCAGGCGGAGCGGCGGGTCAGGGGAAGTCTAGGATATTATATATATGGACCGGAGCATGTCACGTTAGAGTGCTGCCCGGCGGAGCGGCGGGTCAGGGGAAGTCTAGGATATTATATATGGACCGGAGCATGTCACGTTAGAGTGCTGCCGGGCGGAGCGGCGGGTCAGGGGAAGTCTGGGATATTATATATGGACCGGAGCTGCACGTCACGTTAGAGTGCTGCCCGGCGGAGCGGCGGGTCAGGGGAAGTCTAGGATATTATATATGGACCGGAGCACGTCACGTTAGAGTGCTGCCGGGCGGAGCGGCGGGTCAACAGTCAGGGGAAGTGTAACACGGCGGTTTCTCGTGCCCAGGGCGGGGCGCGCCGGTGTTGTTGTCAGCCCTTGCCAGAAGAGATGCTCTGCCGGTCCAGGTGTATTGTTTCACGAGCACAACACAGCGAGATGGTCAGCTACGGTGACCGATGCAGAAACTACGAGACCGATGCAGAAACACGTCCGGCGTGGGTGACGGCCGGGGGTCTTCTCTACACAAGCACGCGGAGCAGATGGTATGCGTCCAGCGGCTGTGGAGCTCGGAGGTCTCCTCGAGCGAGAGAGAACACGTCCTACGCCGATGATGGCTCTAGGTCTTCTACCATTCCCTTTGCCGGGGAGCTCTCGGCTCGGCTCACCCCGACCTAGTTCCTACCACATACTAGAATATAAAACTATCCTGCGTGACGGCCCGCTATTGGATTAAAACATTTTCGCTTTGAGACTCGTCTTGTGATTGGTTATTACTATGTCACCGCCCCTCGGCCCTCTGGTAGCTCTCAGAAGACACGTGTCAGATGAGTTGCCAATCGTCACGCGCTGGCACCGTGGTTGAGGGGGGCGTAGCACGATATCGTTCTAAGGAGCGCGTCAGAAGCATTGGTGGACATTAACCAGGTCACTATTCTGCGCGGGCCGGCATGAATGACGGATGGCGGGCGTCAGGCTGGCGCGACTCAGCGGCACCGTCGTGGCGGGCTGGAGACAATGAGTCACACATGGATAAACTATGACGCGTCGTTGGGCCGACCCACAGTGATGCAAATGGGGTTCACGAGTGGCCATAAATACGAAAAAGGCCCAAAATTCAAGTTCACTTAATCGAATAAATCGTAATATGGTCAGTCAGGCAAATGTTTGGGGTGTCTGAAAAAGTATGATTTTAATGTTTTTGTCAAAACCGGCCTCGTGTAGGATTGTCAGAAGTCGAGACATTTTCGATGTCGTAAATTGACTGTCGGGTACTTGAAATTCAAGTGCCGCTAGCGTGCGTTCATGTCATGCAAACTGCAAAAATTATACATGAAAATGATCCCCGAAACCTGCTACTTCTAATGCCACGTCATACAAAGCCGTATCTATTTTGGTATGGCGGTGAACTAACTATTTGTAATCATGTTGCAACCGCAGTTTTTTACCAAAAAGATTTGCTTTCAATTAACCTACAGCACTTCACACAGTGTGTGCCCGCTAGTGCACCATATCATAGCATTCCCTAATCATTTCTGAGTCGCATCGTGAAAGAATTAAGGCGCTAGCACAGGGCTGACCGGCGCTACAAAAGTTTTCGTCCGGCACGGTCGGGTGCTGCGGCGCAGCGGGCGGCCCGGGCGGTCGCGCCGCCGCGCCCGGACGCCGCGCGGCGGCACCCACCCGCCCAACTGCGCGCCCACTGCGGCACCCGACCGCCCGGACAAAAACCTCTGTAGCGCCGGTTAGCCCTGTGCTAGCGCCTTAATTCTTTCACGATGTGACTCAGAAATGATTAGGGAACGCTATGGTATGGTGGACTAACGGGCACACACTGTGGTGAAAGTTCTGTAGGTGAAACGAAAGCATTTTTTTCTTAGCAAAAAACTGCGATTGCAACATGATGATAAATAGTCAGATTACCACCAAAGCGAATGAGATACGGCTTTTTGTGACCCAGCATTAGAAGCAGAAGGCTTTGGGGATCATTCCCATGCATAATTTTTTCAATTTGTACGAAATGAACGCAAACCAGCGGCGTTTGAACATGCGAGTGTCTGACTGTCATTTTACGACCTAGAAAATGTCACGTCTGTCAAGACAGCCTCAGATTCAGATTCACTTTCAGAATCACATTCGGACCCCCTTCGATTTTCATAAAAACTGGTCCATGGTACAGTTTTGGACGCTGATTCCAATGGTGAAGTCTGTTTTTCGCCACATATTATACTTTGGCCCCTAGAGGCATTCAAAGTTTTTTTGGGGCGAAGGGGGACCCCCTTAGATTTTCATAAAAACTGTTCCATGGGTACAGTTTTGGACGCTGATTCCAACGGTGAAGTCTGTTTTTCGCCACATATTATACTTTGGCCCCTAGAGGCATTCAAAGTTTTTGGGGGAAGGGGGACCCCTTAGATTTTCATAAAAACTAGTCCATGTGTACAGTTTTGGACGCCGATTCCAATGGTGAAGTCTGTTTTTCGCCACATATTATACTTTGGCCCCTAGAGGCATTCAAAGTTTTTTTGGGGAAGGGGGACCCCCTAGATTTTCATAAAAACTGGTCCATGTGTACAGTTTCGGACGCTGATTCCAATGGTGAAGTCTGTTTTTCGCCACATATTATACTTTGGCCCCTAGAGGCATTCAAAGTTTTTTGGGGCGGAGGGGGACCCCCTTAGATTTTCATAAAAACTGGTCCATGTGTACAGTTTTGGACGCTGATTCCCATGGTGAAGTCGGTTTTTCGCCACATATTATACTTTGGCCCCTAGAGGCATTCAGATTCACTTTCAGAATCACATTCGGACCCCCTTAGATTTTCATAAAAACTGGTCCATGGGTACAGTTTTGGACGCTGATTCCAATGGTGAAGTCTGTTTTTCGCCACATATTATACTTTGGCCCCTAGAGGCATTCAAAGTTTTTTTTTTGGGGCGAAGGGGGACCCCCTTAGATTTTCATAAAAACTGGTCCATGGGTACAGTTTTGGACGCTGATTCCAACGGTGAAGTCTGTTTTTCGCCACATATTATACTTTGGCCCCTAGAGGCATTCAAAGTTTTTTGGGGAAGGGGGACCCCCTTAGATTTTCATAAAAACTAGTCCATGTGTACAGTTTTGGACGCCGATTCCAATGGTGAAGTCTGTTTTTCGCCACATATTATACTTTGGCCCCTAGAGGCATTCAAAGTTTTTTTGGGGAAGGGGGACCCCCTAGATTTTCATAAAAACTGGTCCATGTGTACAGTTTCGGACGCTGATTCCAATGGTGAAGTCTGTTTTTCGCCACATATTATACTTTGGCCCCTAGAGGCATTCAAAGTTTTTTTGGGCGAAGGGGGACCCCCTTAGATTTTCATAAAAACTGGTCCATGTGTACAGTTTTGGACGCTGATTCCCATGGTGAAGTCTGTTTTTCGCCACATATTATACTTTGGCCCCTAGAGGCATTCAGATTCACTTTCAGAATCACATTCGGACCCCCTTAGATTTTCATAAAAACTGGTCCATGGGTACAGTTTTGGACGCTGATTCCCATGGTGAAGTCTGTTTTTCGCCACATATTATACTTTGGCCCCTAGAGGCATTCAAAGTTTTTTGGGGCGAAGGGGGACCCCCTTAGATTTTCATAAAAACTGGTCCATGTGTACAGTTTTGGACGCTGATTCCAATGGTGAAGTCTGTTTTTCGCCACATATTATACTTTGGCCCCTAGAGGCATTCAAAGTATTTTGGGGGCGAAGGGGGACCCCCTTAGATTTTCATAAAAACTGGTCCATGTGTACAGTTTTGGACGCTGATTCCAACGGTGAAGTCTGTTTTTCGCCACATATTATATTTGGCCCCTAGAGGCATTCAAAGTTTTTTTGGAGCGAAGGGGGACCCCCTTAAATTTTCATAAAAACTGGTCCATGTGTACAGTTTCGGACGCTGATTCCAATGGTGAAGTCTGTTTTTCGCCACATATTATACTTTGGCCCCTAGAGGCATTCAGATTCACTTTCAGAATCACATTCGGACCCCCTTAGATTTTCATAAAAACTGGTCCATGGGTACAGTTTTGGACGCTGATTCCAATGGTGAAGTCTGTTTTTCGCCACATATTATACTTTGGCCCCTAGAGGCATTCAAAGTTTTTTTTGGGCGAAGGGGGACCCCCTTAGATTTTCATAAAAACTGGTCCATGTGTACAGTTTTGGACGCTGATTCCAACGGTGAAGTCTGTTTTTCGCCACATATTACACTTTGGCACCTAGAGGCATTCAAAGTTTTTTTGGGGGAAGGGGGACCCCCTTAGATTTTCATAAAAACTGGTCCATGTGTACAGTTTTTGACGCTGATTCCAATGGTGAAGTCTGTTTTTCGCCACATATTATACTTTGGCCCCTAGAGGCATTCAAAGTTTTTTTGGAGCGAAGGGGGACCCCCTTAGATTTTCATAAAAACTGGTCCATGGGTACAGTTTTAGACGCTGATTCCAATGGTGAAGTCTGTTTTTCGCCACATATTATACTTTGGCCCCTAGAGGCATTCAAAGTTTTTTTGG